ATATCGTGCGATCACCATAACACTACCCCTAGCAAGCTCAAAAACACATCCTTAACAAGAGAGCAGTACTCATTTCGTGGAAAACAAGGCACGTTGTCCATCAATGACAACTGTAACCACTTAACATAGCATTCACATCATCATGCAAAGTTGAATCTATCCCGGCCCATGTCCACGACACCTCGTTGCGCAAGTTACGTCCACTATGGAACTATGGCGAATGAGTGATCAGTTCATTCTCGCGTCTTAAAAGGTATGAGCACCTTTTCCGCGCCAACCACAGTAAAGGAAACTTCCTTTCGCAATCAGGCATTTCTCATTTTATTTTTCTTGGTTGGTGTCGTGCGTCCACTACCAGGTTCAATCTGCACTGATAATAGCTAATAACATTAATTATAACCACTTTCAATCTTATACATCATTCCCTTCCATACTGGAAACGAGCAGAGCATCCTAACCAAATTTGCGTCCAAATGCTCAAACATAGCGCAAGCGAATTTAACACCTTTAACATAACTGTATTCGGCAAATTGCATATCATCAACGTCACTTTAATAATCATAATACTCTTATTCAAACTTCTTAATCAAGCCTTCTTTCCAATACTCTTATTCAAACTTTTTTAATCAATCCTTCTTTCCAATACTCTTATTCAAGCTTCTTGATCAATCCTTCTTAAACATCACAATCTATCATCGTGGCAAGCATTCACACAACCCTATAACCTAAAATTGTTCACATTGTTTTTAGTATCCAAATAATCGTTTCCTTTTTCTTTTTTTTTTTTTTTAACACAAACACAGTAATCATCGCGGTGGTGGTGGATAACCATAATAAGCAGTGTTCTGTGGATACTGGTATGGTTGTTGTTGTGGCTGCATGGTTGGAGCTCCATAAGGACCATTATGTTGCACGTGTTGTGTTAGAGGTGGTGCTGCGTACCCATATTGTTGTGGCATCTGTGACGGATGACTAGAAGGATTGACATTACTCATTACGGGCGGCGGTGCGCTATTCATTAGTGGAGTTTGATTTGCAGCTGTATTATTTACCAGTTCTGCATTCAATGGAGCCGGAGGCAATAGCATAGGCGGATTAGTATCATTACCCAACGCTTCACTCTGATCCGGCAGATTCGACAAATATGTGGGATGTAGCCTCAAGTAGGAAGGCCAAGTTGAGCGGTTTCTTGGCTCAAAATGAATTAAAGACGGCGGGATGGTTCCTGGGATGCGGTCCGAGCAAGGCCGTTTTACACAATAGCCATGAGGCCCGATAAGATGCTCCATCAATGCACATGTTTCACAGTAGTCTGGTCCCAGCAGTAATACTATAGGAATTCCGGATTCCCTAATTGCACCAGGTCTTACACATAGCTGCTCCTTTTTAAGAGAATGATCCGACAACGGATTGACTATATGAGTATGATGTACTCCGAGATGACCACCGTATCTATCTGAATTAATTTGAAAGTAATCATGTACCATCGAGTTACCACCGCTGTTCCCACCACCATTGCGAGAGCTGTCATCATTAAAACGACGATTGCGGCCTTCAATGTATGGGGCATTGCGAGTTCGTCTATCCATATCGTTCCTATTATTATCATTCCGATTGTCATTTCTGCGGTCAATATCATAGCGGTCATCACGTCTACGTTCCCCAGTTTCGTTTCTATCTTCTCTACGTCGGTTATTATCATCACGTCGTCGTTCACGACGATCGGTAACTGGTGGTGTGGCACTATGGCGGTTTACAATTTGTCGTTCGTCAAGACTAGAATTAATGTTATTGTTATTAGCACTCGGATTGAGCTGTCCATTAACCACTTCGCCTTCTTCTGTAGGTTGACGTTCATCATCAACATTCATGTGGTCTTCATCGGTGTTTAGTGAAGCCATGCGCAGACTGAGTTGCGTGACGGAATCAATGGTTATAATGTTCAGTTGAGTTGTAAGTGTATCAAGGCTTCGGCGGAATCCACGTTTGGTTAATCTAGGTACTCTTAACATTCGAAGTGTGAGATGTGAGGGTGCAAATTCATGTTCGGGGCTACAATTTTAGTATCGACAGTGGGAGACACTTTCCTTCTTTCTTTGCTGTGACACTGGATAGGAAAGAGATAGAACAATCATGATTGAAATAAGTCAAGTCACGCCTTCATTTAGGGAGCGAGTCCGTTTGACCAGGTTTTGTGTAAAGATGTTCATATTTATGCGATTCGACTGTCCCGAATGCATGTTGGAAATAGGCAAAATCACTTTGGAAAACCTGATTGTACATTTCGCTATCAACATTGACCTCATGTTTGAGCATCACATTTGAATCAAGCAAGAATACTGGTAAATCCACCTCTTCCTCTTCAAGAACAGCAGCTCTTGTGACCTTTTGACGAGGTTTTAGTTGAATTTCTTCATCCCTTAGGAACTTCCAATTCTGTTTCTTATTTCCACGAGTACGTGGTAAGTTCGTTTTAACGTAAAACTCGCGAGGAGCTAATTCGTTACCATGAATATTCAACAATGGACGTTCTGGATCTAGAGTCGTAGTTTCTGCAGAACTTGTACTTTTCGTCACATCAGTATGTCCTGCTCCCAGAGCAGAAGCACCAATCTGTCGCTCCGTTTCCTTTTCATCTTCTTCCATTACCATACGTCGAGTTCGTTGACGACTACGACGACGCGAAGTTCCTTTTGAGGTGTTTGATGTTGTTTCAATCGGATCTGTCAATGAAGATGTAGAGCCAAGTTCGGAATTCATAGATTGGCCACTCCGTTCTGTTCCGCTCTTTACTTCGGCATTTGTATTGCGAGTGTGTTTGCTTCCAAAATCAAAATTGTGTCCCTTTGTCGTTGTACCTTCTTGTCTAGCCAATTCGTTCTCCACATTACCTTCATCGCCGTCAAAATGCATTCCTTCTAATAATTGATTTTCGATATCCTCATCTAAATCTGGCATATCTAGTACAGGAATTCCATGTTCATTAATAGCGTAATCATTGAATTCGGGTAGCGATTTCCCATCCCACGTCTTTTGGCGTAACAAAAATGGACGTATTTGAGTGACATGAACACGTATAGGAACTACTTCAGCATCTGCATTCAACGGTATAATGTTATACACAACGTGATTTACTTGTTCCAAAATCCGAAACGGCCCTGTCCATCGTCCAATCAACTTTCTAAATCCCCTTGGGTCAGTTGATTTCTTTTGTGCCGACGCAATTACCCAACGTTGAACTAAATCATCAGTTCGAAAATCTACATCATGACGATCACGATCGTAAATGTGTTTGGCAAACGTTTGAGCCTCTCGTATCATCATACGTGCGTGATCAAATGCTTCTTTTAATTTACCTGCAACGTCTCGTGCGTATTGGATTTGAGATTTCTTATACTCGATGGAATCGTCTTCAAAAGATTTAAGTGTAAGGGGTTGCGACAGTACATCAAATGGGAGCATCGCGTCTCTGCCATGATTCAAGTAAAATGGTGTCTCACGAGTAGTCGAATGGATTGAAGTGCGATAGGCAAAAAGAATAGGATCTAACAGGCGCTCCCACTTACGAAATCGTTCCTTGCGTGAGACATATTTTTGGTTTGAAGTTGCAGACAACCAATCAATCAACCAGCGGTTAAATCTTTCGGCATAAGGATTTCCTTGGGGGTACCTCACGATACTGTATGTATGTTTAACACCAAAACGTTTCTCCAATAACTCTAATCCTCCCCAGATGAATTCGGATCCTCTATCCGAATGTATAATCAAAGGTATTCCATGTCGCATCAATACTGTCATAATTGCATCAGCAACTGTTTCACCATGTTTATTAGGCATCGGTACAGCTTCAGGATACTTGCTAAAGAGACAGGTCACCACCAGTATATACGTGTTCCCACGATCACTTTTAGGTAACGGTCCCTCAAGATCCATTGCCACACGAATCCAAGGTCTACTCAATTGGTCATCAAATGGAAAAGAACTCATTCTTCCAGCTCTGTGGTCAAATGGCTTCTTTCGCAATTGGCAGAATTCACACGTTTGAACATACTGAGCTACAGCCTTATACATTCGAGGAAAGTAAACTCGTCGTTTCAGACGTTCGTACATAGCATTCCGACCCATATGTCCCGCCGTGTTATCATCGTGAAATTGTTTCAAGATCTCAATATGTAGAGGTAACGGGTGCTCATCGTGAAAAGTAGGCAAGACTAGGACTCCGACTTCCTTTTCAGGTTCACGTTTAAAACGCATAACTTTCATTAACAGACCGTCTCCTGACACACGGTACAATTTAGCATTAGCAACAACAGCGTCATTCAACGGTTTTCGTGAATGAGAAGGCATGATCTGTTTTGATATGTAGATAATCAAACGAGACAAGTAAGCATCAGCCATTTGAACTTCCAAAACTGAGCTGCGAAAGACATCAGCGTCAAAAGACCAAGTTTTGGTTGGTGCATGTTGATCCTTATTCATTTCGAGAGCCAGTAGTTGGAGTGCGATAGACTCATTGAATTCAACACGTTCGAGCTGCTCCATATCCATTCTCAAACTTTCCTCAACTTGTTCAGCATTGAAAGCTTGTTCATAGTAGTCTGCATCCAGAGAGTAGCGAGTGCTTGGGACTGTCCCGTAGCGTAAATCATTTTCAGAATACTCAAAATCTCGTGCCGACGTTGCAGGATGTGAAGTGTCGACATCCATAAGTGTTACATCAATCGGGTTGCGAGACAAGGCGTCGGCATTGGCGTTGTGCTTCCCAGGTCGATGCACGATTGTAAAATCGAATTCATTCAACCTCATGACCCATCGATGCAAGCGTCCATTTGGTTGGTGGATTTTTAATAACCAAGCAAGAGCGGAGTGGTCAGTTTGGACAGTGACTTTCCTTCCAGACAAATAAACTGCCCAAAGTTCTAAAGCCCATAACACTGCGAGTGCTTCCAACTCCCTAGTATCCCAAATACGTTCAGCAGGTGATAAAGTCCGTGAGGCATATGCAATAACACGTTCATTCTTTTCCTCATCTAGTTGAGATAGTACAGCACCGAGTCCTTGAATTGATGCATCTGTTTGCACAATAAACTCTCGATCGGATTTCGGCATAGCAAGCACAGGTTCCGTTGTCAACAAATCCTTCAGTAACTCAAAAGCTTTCTGCTCTTTGATAGTCCATTCCCATTTTGCTTCCTTTTTGATCAATTGTAAGAGGGGATGAGCAACAGCAGCCAAATTCGGGATGAACCGACGATAGTATGAGCACAATCCCAAAAAGGTTCTAGTGTCCGATTGATTTGACGGAACCTTGAACTCTTTTACAGCTTGGATTTTACGAGGTCCAGGCTTGATACCATGACGACTGACCACATGTCCTAAGTATTCGACTTCAGCAGCAAAGAAGTCACACTTGGAAGCTTTCAACGATAATCCAGCATTAACCAGCCGATTCAATACTTTCTCAACATCCTTCAAATGATCATCAAATGTATTCGAAAATATGACAATATCATCCAAGTAAACAAGACAGTTGTGCCATTTCAACCCAGAGAGAACAGTGTCCATGAAACGTTGAAACGTTGCAGGTGCATTCGTCAACCCAAATGGCATACGTATAAATTCATACAGTCCATCGTGAGTAACGAAAGCCGTCTTGGAAACATCCTCTTTAGCAACTGGTATCTGCCAATAACCCGCAGCGAGATCCAATGTCGAATAAAACTCCTTATCAATAGTATCTAACAAGTCTTGTTGCAAAGGGAGCGGATACGAATCCTTTACGGTGATAGCGTTGAGTTTACGATAATCAACACAGAAACGGATCGTTCCATCTTTCTTCGGAACAAGAACCACAGGCGAAGACCATGGGGAACGAGATTCTTGCACAATGTTATTCTTGAGTAGCTCTTGCACTCGGTCCTTGATATACTGTCTTTTATCATGAGGTACACGATACGGTGCGGTTTTGATAGGCCGATTAGAAGCAACATCAATTTGATGGGTACCCAACGACATTGGCGGCTTGTCCGGATTGGATGCAAAAGCACGTCGATATTTAAACAAAAGATCCTTAAGTTGCTGACACTGATCCTCAGCCAAACGAGTTTCAATGGCTTCATATTTGAGACCTCTAGGCCATCCTTCAACAAATTCGATATCCATTTCATTTGTTACAAATTCTGGTATCTCAAGTTTCTCCCAAGCCCAGTTTGCATTGGAAGAATCAAAAGTGTGATGGTTTGAAGTAATAGAGCTCTCGTGTCTGTCTAGCGTCAAAGTCGACAGCTCTAGTTCAACAATCTTTGCAACTAAACCCAATTCTTCCAATTCAAAGTCTGATGCAGGTGTTAGCATAAAAGATTCGATTTCATTCAGGGATTCACCGAAGTCTAGTAGAGCCGCAATATCGAACAATGCGACAACTTGATTGCGTGATATGTGGACTAGATGTGTCGAGAAATTGGACAACATCACTTTCATCCTTCCATCTGATAAGCAGCCGAGCATGTTCGACGTCCACACTTGATATTTAGCAGCAAACGGTTCGTATGAAGAGACCCATCCTTCAACAGGAGCCGCGAAATAAGGGGAAGACTTCATTACAATAACCTCCACTATTCGTTGATGACGTGCAGGTATAGTAACATTATTAATGGCGCGTAATAATTCCGTTTTTGGTTCAAGCAACCTAGTCAAAGCCTGTTCTTTCCGTAACGACAATGGAAATTCGGTGTTATCATCAGCAAATGTCATAGATGATGTTGCAAAGTTAATCTTGGCACGTAGGTGAACTAAACAATCCACTCCCAAAAGCAGTGGCACCGTCAGATTTTGTAATACAATAGCTTCCCAACGAATGCGTTTCTTCCCAATAGTCATATCAAAATTACATACACCTTTGGGAGCAGCCTGTGCAGTTCCTTGTGCTAATCGAATGTGTCCTCCAGTCCATGGCGAGATACGTAAATTATGAGATTGACAGCAGTTGTAATCCATGACAGTCACTGAGGCTCCGGAATCGATAACACATAAAACGGGATTTCCTCGAATCCGTACAAAACATCTGGTATTCGAGTATGACCCAAGCGGTCGTTTAACCATATTGATTTCCTCAAGCGAAACCATAAACAAATTGTCAGCAGTAGAAGGTAATAATAATGGAGCCAATATAGGCTTACTCAAGTTTGCAGTTGCACTTACAGTAGTAGCATTGTGACTAAATGTCACGTCAGGCATTGAACCAGACAAAGAAAGTAACGAAGAATTATCAACATAATCGGTATATACAGTTCCAGAGTAGGATACTGGAGCATAAGTGGTTTCGATAAACGGTGTTGTAGCATCTGACAATACCACCATAGTCAGTGCGTCACCCTCCCTTCAGGTTGACGTAGCAGCTTTCGTAGCTTCGGCAGCTAAGGCAGCAATGCGCCGACAGAACGACACGTAAGCATGGGTATTAGGGTCCGTATCTTTCTTACTGCAGGCAGAAGCAAGATGAGAAGACATACCACAAACTAAGCATTTCAACTTATCGCCATCTTTAAAGTGGTTGATAGCATGTTCCTTAATCATCGGATAGCGATTACGTAGCCATTGCAAAGCTTGTCCCGGTAGTCGATTAGGCGTCGATGATGATGCGGTTGGATGCGACGTGTTGGGGGTGAAGGCAACACGTTTAGCGGGGCGAGTAGTAGTATTAAGGTCCACGGCATGCACATAGAAATCATCTTCAGCTTCATCAATTGAATCGTATTCTTGACTTAAATCCATTAGGTCAACATCAAGTTCACGTTCACGACGTGTATTTCGATAGGTCCGTTTACGTTGAGCATGAGCAATCAATTGTTCAACGTCTTTCTTTGTCATAGGTGCCTGCGCAGGTACAACAGCAGTTGGTGGCAATGGAGAGCTATCGGCTAAGGAAACTGTAGTAGTGGACGTAGGCATAACTGAATCTAATGGTTGACTCCAGTTTCCAAACGATAAAGCATTCACATGTGGGCCGGATTTAGTCAAAGTCATTGTAGTTGTAGCATTCGGATTCGTCATTTCGGCGACGTAAATAGCTTCAGCTTTACGCGCGAGCGTCTGAATGGTGTCTTCTGAGAAGAGTTGTACGTTGCGATACTGTTGCAGTAAACCTTGTAAGAAACGGTCCTTAACCAAAGCAACATTTGGAGCATATTGTGGGGCGGCTTGTTTGATACCATCTGAAACAATCTCCAATCGTAACCGAAAAGCATTTGGACCCTCATTAACATTTTGTTTCATTGAAAAGAAGTGTTTTAATAATGCATCACCAACTGGACCAGTTACAAGTTCTTCATCGAATTTAGCTACTACTGTAGCATACGTCATCGGCGGGTCAGAAGGAATCAAGCTTAACATAGCCATAGCCCCATCACTCAAGTAATCCATCAATGTTGGTAGTTTTTTTTCTGCAGCTCGTGCGTCATTCATCGTTCGAACATCATAGAGTTTCTCAAATCTTAACTTCCAAACCGGCCACGTCATCGTAACATCAGAAGAGTTCAATATGAATTTCGGCATTTGGAGCTTAACAAGCTTGTCACCACCACCATAACCTCCTCCTCCAATACGATTTGCAGCTAAAGCTGCTAAAGATGCTTGTGTATCAACAATTCGGCCTAAGAGGCTCGTCAAATCACCATTTGATGTGTTGGTGGCACTTCCACCACTTGCAGCATCCCCCATCGAAAACAGATCAAAGCTGTACGAAAATCCACGAATGTACTCAAAAAGAAGCGATATAATCCAAAAAAATCCCAAGTTTGATAGTTGGCAAAAGAGTTTTTCACGGTGTTGAATTTTCACTCACCACAGTTTTGTAAAGAGGTGGAGCGAGTGCTGTTGGTTCGTTGCGGCCCCCAAATAAAGGACACGGTATTGCT